CAAATGCTAGCTAGTTTTTTAGGTGTCTTACCTATCCTCACCCCTCCCTTGTGTGCTCTCGCTTTTATCATGTGCTCATAGTCCAATCCCATTGTCCAACACTCTCTTAGTAGCCTCTGTAGCACAGGCGCTCACTTCACCTATTCTAAGTTCTCAATGAACTATACACCAACCACCACTAACGACCCACAGCAATTATCTCTTGAAAATGTGTGGAAAAGTCATTCCATAGGTTAAAAATTCCGGTATCCCCCAGGATATGTCCATAAGCAATGTCCAGATTGTTTTATACTATAATCCAAAGTGCATGAAGCCAGTAAACCAACTTTTAAAATATGTGAGAGCTAAAAAAAGAATTATAATGCCTACACTTGCAGCTCCCTCTCAAAAAGCCTACCTCAAGATTGGAAGATGCAGGAGAAATTGTTGCAATTATAGATGTTTTTGTACGACCCCCAAGAGAATCTTGGAGGATTCTAGTTAGTTTAGACTCTCGATAAGGAACGTGAGGTGTTCTTTCCACAAGAGCAGTAATGACCCTTCCCAAAGTCAACAGGGATTGATTGATATTTCCAGCTTCCCGCGCCCTCTTATCAACAGCTCCAGAACGGCCAATGTTTTCACTTCCTGCAAGATCAACCTTTAATTTTAAAAATAAAAAGTCAATACATTAGATGTAGATTCAAAGAGTTTCACTCTTATATTGTATGTAGTGTGTTAAGTAGACAGCAAAATAAATTTTCTACAACAAATTTCTTCTCTCAGTACAAAGCTAATAACCAAGTAACTGCAAAACCATTGTGTATAAGTACAAAACTTCAAGGTGCTCTATGAGGTAGTCAAGAATAAAACAGTGGTATTAAGGTGAATGCTTACCAAGTTCAACTTTCCAATTTTAACAAGCTCTTCTCCATCAATTGTGGTCTCTTTCATATGTATTGTAACAGAAAAAACTGAGTGGGAACGACTAGAAAACAAGATCAAATTGTCCCTTCGTTACAATGTAAAACATTACTTGCTTTCTGTAAAATATTGAGAACAGGAAAGACCTAAATCTACAAGGGTAAAGAAAGAAATTTTCAGTCAGGAAATATCAACAAAATTTTGGAAGACAGACAGCAGATAGAACAATGCTTAGGTTTTTGATTTCTTGGATTTGCTGCCTGCAGGGAAAGCTACAATAAGAAGCTACCCAAAAATACCCAAAAAGAATTTTCAGGCACCTCTGAAAGGTGGATTTGGAGTGGGGTCAGGACATTTGCCCAGTGTGTCAGAGCAGATGGCTCTCTAACCATCCTTCTCTATATAAGAACCACTTGGAACAGGTTATTACCAAAAACTCAATAGCACCAGGCAAGCTATCAGATTACCCACTCCCTGTGTGGTGTCACCTACGCTCCTCTGCTTTGAAAAGTCACTCCCCCTCTTGAACAGCAGCAACAGTAAATAGAATGATTACTAAAACAGTACAAGATATGCCCATTAGACTAGAAAGTGTTCAAAAGTGTGGGAGACCAGTAACTAAATAGACTGAGAAGAAACTTTGACATGAGCATGGTCATGTCAAGGCCCTTTGTGCTGAGAAGGCACAGCCCCAAAGTGAGCAAGGTTCAGCAAGGCTGCCTTGCAAGAGGGGAGACTGAGGCAGTGCAAGTAGCCTTGACACGAGCATGGCTCTGTCAAAGGGCCTCTTGGCTGATAGGCAGGGACCTAGTAAGGGGAGGCAAGGTTCAGCAAGGCTGCCTTACAAGAAAAACAGGACCTGCTGACCTAGTCAGGATAGTCTGTACTAAATAACAACATACCACAGCTGTGCTGTTCCTGCAGCCTACACAAGTGAACCCATGAGAACTCAACCTGCATTTCACCCCACTTTTCCATATGTGCTGTATAAATAAATGTGCTTCGAAGCAGAGGATGTCGCCAGCATCTCTCATCAGGAGTATTGGATGCACCCGGCCCCAGCTTTTCTCTATGTCTGTCTTTGTGTCTTTTTTCTCAATCCCCAGTCACTCCCAGTCAGGTCAAGGGACCTGCTCATGCTGGCCATGAGAAAAAGTATGCCTTATGCTAAGTACTGACTTCAGCTTTAATCTGAGGAAAACAAAAATTATATAGATGACCAAAGACATTTTTCTTTTTTTTTTTTTTTTTCAGTATTGGGGCTTGAACTCAGAGCCTACACCTTGAGCCACTCCACCAGCCCTTTTTTGTGATGGATTTTTTTTTTGAGATAGGTCTCACAAACTATTTGCCTGGGCTGGCTTCAAAACGTGATCCTCCTGATCTCTGCCTCCTGAGTAGCTAGGATTACAGCCGTGAGCCACCAGCACCTGGCTGACATTTTCCCTTTTTTGTATTAATGGGAATATCATTATATTATTGCCATTGATGGTGGAGAATTGGTTAATTTCTTCTTTGGACTTTTCATATTATTTTAAAATTTCATAAGTATATTTTTTAAAAAAAAATTACCTAATCACCTTCACCAACCCTAATTTGACTTTCCCTAAGTTCCTGATATTTATTAAAAAGAAAATGGAGGGCTAGCATGGTAGCTCAAGTGGAGGAGCACCTGGCAACGAAGCATGAGTCCCAGAGTTCAAACCCCAGTACAGCCAAAAAAAAAAAAAAAAAACGAAATGGAGCTGGGGAAGAAATTGTGGCTTTTTACCTAGAGTACGCATTCATCAAAGTTGCTGCAGTTGTCCTTTTTGCTGCTCCCTTCTCCAAAATTTGATAGACTTCATCCTTATTGTGTACTGTAATTTCTTCTAAACCTTTGATTATCACTCCCCTCTGGCCAAATATTAAAAGAACATCCATTAGATTGCTTTGTTTTATTAAAGTACAGTGACGTCTAAAAAGGCTCACACATTAAAATTTGGAAACATATCATTCTCAAAGACAGTTACCTTGTTACGAGGATCATCAAACATCTGTAGTCTCTCAGAAACATCAGAAGATGGATTAAGGAGATCAAAAAGTTCTTCGTTATAGATTTCCAACAGAGATACTTTGACTGAAAATTCAGTACCACTATCAGTAAGTTTCTCAAAAATCTGATGAAGAGTACGTGGAATTATACCAGCCAAAGGATCCTGAAATTACAGTATTAATAAAGATTAAAATAAAGAAAGAATGCTATTCACTACAGCAGTTAAAACATAATAGAGCCTCATTTATAGTACATTTATTTATTTTCAGTATTATGAAACGCTGAAAATAAATAAATAAATGTCATGAATGCTAAGTAAGTATTCTCCCACTGAGCTAGACTCCCAGCCCTTTTTCTATATTTTTTATTTTGATACAAGTTCTCACTAAATTGCCCAGATGGGCCTTGAACTTGTGATCTGCCTGCTTTAGCCACCCAAGTAGCTGGGATTACCACTATCTATGTACTACACAGCCAATTACAGCATATAACCTAAGTACAGTTAGCTTTCTATGTCCACTGGTTCTGCATTCTACCAATTATAAAAAGAAAATATTTTTAAAAATATTTTATCTGTATTCAATATGTACAGACTTTTTCTCTTGTCACCATTCCCTAAATAATGAAGTGTAACGACTATTTACATAGCATTTACATTGTACTAGGTATTACAGGTAATCTAGAGAAGATTTAAGGTATATGGGAGGATGCACCTAGGTTATATGCATATACTGTGCCATTAGATAAAAGGCTCTTGAGCATCTCCAGATTTTGGTGTGCATGTATGTGTGTCCTAGAACCAACCTCCCTCCCCTACCACCGTGGATATTGTAGGACAACTATATGCCAAAGCAAATTAAAAAATAACAACAAAACCTTAACCTGATGTTAGAAAAGTCAAGCGATTAAACAGTCTGGGTTACTAAAATCAACAGTCTAAAAATATCAAATGGGAAATTATGTGCCATCCTGAGTACCATGATGAAATCTTGCACCATTCAGCCAGGGACATGAATCATCCCTTTGTCATGTATTCACACAATATATGCTGCCCACCTGTTGGCCACTCTCCATAGCCCTATTGGTTATCAGATCAACTGTCTTCATATGGCAGTTCAAGTAACTCTTACTTTACTCAATAATGGCCCTAAAGCACAATAATAGTGATCTGGCAATTCCGATATACCAAAGAGAAGCTATAAATTGCTTCCTTCAAGTGACAAAGTAAAAGCATGATAAAATATTTGGAGAGACACACAGAGGAAAACCCATGTTCGCATAACTTTTATTTCAGTATTTTGTTATATAATTTTATTTCATTATTGTTGGCAATCTCTTACTGTGCCAAATTTATAAATTAGGCATCATCATGGGATATACCTAGGAAAACACATAGTATATACAGGGCTTAGCACTATCAACTGTTTTTAAGTATCCGCTCTGGGTCTTGGAACATACCCCCTGATGAGGGGGAAATCACTGAATTATGCTCAAACTGTACTGTCTGCAGTAGCCCTCTCTTTTATCACTTAATGGTGCTATACGTTATCTTGTATCATCCAATGAGAGTATTTTTCTTAAACAGGAGTCATACCATTTACTTCAGTTTTACAATTTTAGCGTTTACCCTAAATTCTTATTTGACATGGGTTCTCTAATCTTTTATATTTCAAGACAGTCACCTGTAACCAAGTTTTGGTCAGCTAAATTTTTGCCACATCAGAGAAAAAGTATGTTATAAACAATAAATACCTCCTCCCAGGTATACGCTTCATTAGGTGACCTTTCACCTTCCATTGTAAAGGTTTTCCCAGTGCCAGTTTGGCCATATCTGTCAAGATTAACAAAAGTAGAAAATCAACAACAAATACATACACTTAAACTTTTTCATCAACTTGAAAACAGTGTTTTGCTTACGCAAAGACAGTGCAATTGTAGCCCATAATAACTTCATCCAGAATCGGACAAACAACACTTCGATAAACATCAATTTGTTTAGTAGATGCTCCAAAAACCTATTAAAAAAAAAAAGATTTCTTAAAGAAAGCAAACTCAAAATTTCTCATTTTAGGACTGGAGGTTTGGCTCAAGCAGTACAGCACCTGCTTTGCAAGCATGAAGCCCTCAATTTAAATCACAATCCCACCAAAAAAAACAATTACTTATTTTAATAATTTTGCCTACTAGGAAACCATCTGAGAACTCAAAGAGACAACTGAAATTGTAAGTGTACATCACTTTCCAAGAGAAATACACAGAAAGGATAATTTTACATCGGGGATAATTGAAGAACGTAAATACCATATCAAAAGTGTACGTTTTCCTGGAGCTCTTGTCTGCCAGCCCTCCAGTTCGTACACTCACTTCTTTCCGAGCATGATCACATTCTACTACTGAATGGGAATTAGTCTTCCGCTCTGCCAGGTTAAATGGTCTATAAAAACAAATACAAAAAGTTATTCAAGAACTTTTAGTTAACAGGTTATCAGTGACACTTTCATTAGCTACAATGGTCAAGAAAAGAGTGAAATGTGAAGCTGTGACCACACTGTTGGTGATGTATATTAAATGAGGACTAGATGACACTGCTAAAGCAGACAGCAAAATTATAGGGGTCTCAGTTCCTAAAAAATTTTTAAAACTTTTCAAAGATATGTAATGTATTACAATTATAGCAGTTTTTTTAGAATAGATGCTAACATAATTTAAGATGTAAAAAATGCCTAGCTTATTTTTCAGAATTCTATTTCCACTATTCTTTTTTCTTTTTTTAATCTTTTTCTTCCATCCTTCCCTGCCTCCCTCTCTTTCTTCCTTCCTTGCTCCCTCCCTCCCTCCCTTCCTTCCTTCCTGTCTTTTCTTTCTTTGGTACAGGAGATTGAAGTAAGGGCCTCTGCTTATAAGGCAAGTGATTCTCCCTTGGCCCACACTCCCAGCCCTTTATGCAGTTAGTTGACTTTTCAGATAGGGTCTCCGCCTAGCTGGGTGTGATGTGTACCACCACACCTGGCCTGTTTGTTGAGATAGGGTCTCAACAAAGAAACTGGCCTTGAACTGCAATCCTCCTGATCTCTGCCTCTTTGAGTAGCTGGGATTACAGGAGTGATATTTTAAAGCCAGCAGGTGATATTGCAGGGCCCTGAGAAAGAGCACAGTAGGTGCATTTTTAAAATGTGTATGTGCTTAAGTGATCAGGACTCAAAAGAGAAATCAAAGGGGAAATTAGAAAATACTTAAGAGATAAATGAAAACACAGCATCCAAAACCAGTAGGGTAGAGGGAACCCAGTACTAAATGCTAAGCAGTATATATAAATCCTGTATTAAAAACAAGAAAGTTCTCTTATCTTATCAACACTTTGAACTTTATAACTTAAGAAACCATAAAAAGAACAAATTAATCCCAAAACCAGAGGAAGGAAAAAAATAAAGATTAAAGATAAACTAGAAGAGGAAAAAAAAAAA